ATAGAAGGTAAAAATATTTACCTATTTTATAAGCTTATGATTTATTATTTATGCATATTTTTTAATTTCACAATCATGAGACCCATAACCCATTAGGGTCATAGGGATAAGGTATGACTGGTTGGAATTTGAAGTTTTCATTCTCTTAGACTGGCTGCAAACCAAGACTATAAGGCTATATCTGTATTGTAATTTACCCATATCTGTTGGAGAGAGTAGAGATACAAACCTTTTCTAAGGTTATTTGCACATATGTGACTGTAATGAACCCAATGAATTTGGGTTACTTGAACTAAAATAGAATGAGAAGATTTTAGTGAGGAGAAAGGACAATAAAAGAATAGGATTCAGGAAGACAGAAGATGGCAATTAGTGTTGTATTTACATTTTTGAACATTGTAGGTGGCATTGAAGCGCAAATCTGGAATAGAGTTCCACAGACAGGAAGTGCGAGAAAAGAAACTATTAGAATAGAACAGACAGTTGCATCTAGCTAGTCTAAGAGTAAAACAGCGAGGCCTTGCTGCCAATCTAGCATGATGCTTAAATTCATGCAGTTAAGGCACTAAGGAAAAAGCCCATCAAAACAATTTCTATGAAAATATTTACAGAAAACACAGAGGAAGCTGCATCACAATGGTGATAACGTGACAGAAGTCAAGATGTCAGTTCAGGACTGATTACATGACAGACCCTTCTTTAGATTTTGTTGGGAATCTCAAGATATATAAAAGCAGCACCAGACCAGATATGGCAGACATATTCATGGCATAGTAGATTTATAAATGTGCAAGATGGATTCTGATGAGAAGAATGGTTTGATATGACACATTGAAACAACCTTCTTAGCAACAGACCTAGCAATTGATTCAATATAATTGTTCCACTTCATCTCAGCAAAAAACATTAGTCCAAGAAGGTGCAATGAATTGCTCTCCTGGAGGTTACCTCCAGGAGAGCAATTCATTGCAACTTCTTGGGCTAATGTTTTTCATCAGCCATGATGATGGAAGGCAGAAAAGCTTCTCTATAGTGATTAAATGGTAGCAGTTTTATTTTGGAGGCGCTAACATTTATAAGCCATTTTGTTAGAATTATTAGATACTAGCAGTAGAGCCTGGCATTGCCCAGGGATGTAACAGTAAGAGACAGATCAAGTATCGACCATCATAAAGACTGAAAAATAAAATTGACAAAGATTATTGTTTAAGGTTGACGGACACGCATGTCTTAATTAGTTTTTTTTTGTTTTTTTTTTTGTTTTGTTTTTTTTACGAATTGGTCAAACCCAAACTCAAACAAAAACATTGTTTTCAATCTTTATGAGTCTACCGATTGAATAGAATTTTATTATAAACAATTGTTTTGTAAATGGAATTTTTAAAGCATTCTGAATGTAAAAATAAAGAAAAAAGTGTGCAAGACAATGAGAAAAACTACCTGCCAAAAAAAAGTGAAGTTTTGTTGAAATCGGTTGAAAAATGTAGGAAATCCGATCCCATATATAAACGAACACACACACACACACACACACACACACAAACAACCTGGGTTTTATAATAAGTATAACTCGATATGAGTTGTGCCCCTTTCATTCTAGCGATGACTCTTAATCGTGTTTTGAAATTGATTTCGTGCAAAAACAATTGTGTTTTTCCAATTTTTGGTGCTGTCAGAACCACCGCAAGGTAATTTTACGTAGTCCTGTGAAGTTTTGTTGAAATCGGTTGAAAAATGTAGGAAATCCGATCCAATATATAAACGTGTACACACACGCACGCACACACACACACACACACAAAACCTGGGTTTTATAATAAGTATGATGCCTGTGTGTAGTCAGGTAAGCTTAGGGAATTGTTTAATGTTGTGCATTATTCTATGTTGAATTTATTTTCATCTACTGGCTTGAATATTCCAGAAATTTTATTTTATATTAAATCAATAGAGATTTTGCTTTAGCCTTGATCAACAAAGGTTCTTTGTGGGTGAGTCAGTTAAAACATGTTGGATCTAATGACAGTTCCCTCTGACCAAGAGTATGCAGGTTCAAATCATGCCAGAGAGTGAATATTTTTCTTTAATAAGATTTCTTGCATATTCAGGCCTGTAAAGGAAATTAAATAAATATATTGTTTAATAAATAAATGGAGCATCTACTCAAATATGAGTATCTCCTAAAAATAACATTTAAAATGATAAAATATATATACATATATATATATATATATATATATATATATATATATATACATACATACATACATACATACATATATCTGCATATATTCCTCCTTCAAGTCTTAGCTCATTATTTTGTTTAGTATTGATTAAGTCTTTTATTGTTTTAGGTGTAGGAGTAACAAATTTTATGTTGAGTTTAGCAAGATTCTTCCAATTGTAAATGTGATAGAGTTAGTGGGTAGGACAATATATTTTTTTGATTCATTGGATTTGTCAGGAGTTACAATTGGAAAGAATCTCAATATAAAATTTGTTACTATTACATCTAAAACGATAAAAGACTGAGGCAATGTTAAACAAAACAATAAGCTAGAACTTTAAATTTACTCTATTGCCTTTAATAGTTTTCACAAAACTTCATTGTAGAAACCTCAAGGAATCTAAATAAAAGATTATAGGAACACAAAAGGGATATTTTACAAAACAAAGAATCAAATGCATTAGTTGCTCACTGTAATGGGGCTGGACACAATTATGACATAAAAACCCAACACTGATCAATGGGAGAAAACAGTTCACTAAGACAAAAATATTACACACACATAACATTTTGTGATTATTTACCCATTAACAATCTGTCTTATGCAATGTCATTCTCAAATTTTCTGGTATTTGTTTAGTTGGACGTTCCTAGATTCTGCTATTCTCTGTCAGTTTTCAGAAGGAATGCACCAATGTGCCAACAATTTACATCTAAGAAAAACTGGGAAAGGACTAAAAGAAAAACATGTAAACTATTTTATTCCAATGTTGGAGAAAAACAAATATGGCAACTAAAAATATGGGAACTAAAAATGAAAAGGAAAGCACGTTTAAAAGAATGGGATATAATAAAACATAAAGAAAACGAGAGAAAGAAATTTGAATTTATGTAGGGTATAGAATCTAGGCTGACTGAGTTTTTTTATATGGGACGGGCTGATTATTCCAAAGATATGAGTTAGAAGTTTTTTATTGCTTTTGCCAGTTTGTGGGTAGTCATTGACTATGCAAAACAGAAAGCTTATAAAATATTCCCAGATAAAAAAATGTCCCCTCCTGAAAAACTCAATGACTCAAAAAGATATATTATCCTACTGACTAACTCTTTCAGTACTACAATTGGAAAGAAATTATCCAAACACAACATAAAATTTGTTATTATTGCATCTAAAACAATAAAAGACTGAGTCAATGTTAAACAAAACAATAAGCTAGAACTTTAAGGAGGAATTTACTCAATCACCTTTAATAATTGTCACACACACACACACACACACACACACACACACACACACACACATATATATATTACTTAGCATTATCTTGCTCTGTTCTTTTTCTTCCTCTTCTTATTTTTTATTGAGAATTTTTGTCAATTTTGCTTGTTGAGAATTGCAGAGCACCTGATAAATAATTGCCAGTGAGCTTTTTTTCTCTTTTGAGCAGATTGCACTTAGAATTTCATCTTAAAGTGCTCAAAAAAAAATTTCATTAACTCTAGGCCACCTTCTCTGTGTAAACATAAAAAATGGCAGCTTGGTCTTAATGTGATCTGCACTTAAATAGACTGTTGTTACTATATTACTAAAGTGTGTGTAATATAGCAACAACTCTAAATAGAAGCTTATGCATTTAAAATGTTTATTTTATTATAGTCAATACTTACATGCCAAAGGGGAGATGAGTGTGGCTTATTTTATTACCATAGTGTGTATTTGTGTTTCATTCTAATCAGTACACACTTTTATTTTATTATCCTTGATCAAGTTTTGATAAAAGAGGAATGAAACCAGTTAGTTCCCCTAATTTTTTTTCACTCTTGCTTTTTAAATCAAATAAATAGGTCCATTATCTATGCCATGATTAAATTCTGTATTACCAACAAAATCTCTCTCTCTCTCTCTCTCTCTATATATATATATATATATATATATATATATATATATATATATATATATAGATATAGATATATATATTAATAAATATACATACGTTTGAAGTGCACCTTAAAGTTTCATTGTTCTACCAACTCATCAGGCATGAATTATTACTTCTGATTTTTTAAAAAGAAAAAAAAATATACTGGGTCTCATAGAAGGAATGCTAAATTAAATGCAGATTCAAACCCCAAAGTTAATATAAACTTAATATAATATTGGCGTGTAAATACAGAATGTAGAGTGTAGACTATTTTAAAAGAAGAAATAAAAAGGCAAACTTAAAATTTAAAAGAGGAACGCTGATTGACATCAGTAGGATTTTCCTAAATTTAATCCACAAACATTTCAGCCATGACCCTTTACTCAACAAAATCTTCAATAAGAACAATATTAAGATTAGTTATAGTTGTGCTAGAAACCTTGAGTGGCATATAGCACAGTATAATATCTGTTATATAGGAATAAAATGTCACTGCTGACACTTGAGTTTGAACCTAGATTGCCAGTGAACAAACACAGGTGATCCCATTATTGAATTAAGTGAATCACATGACCATAGAGGAAACACACATATATAGAAAGTCAAGTGACATCTAGATTGATCATCATTTCTAGTCTATCCTCTATTACTATACAGATCGCTATTTCTCCTCTATCACTATACGGGTCGCCATTCTCTATTCTCTTTTTTAATGCACATATATATGGCTTCTAATATATAGTTATTTGATTTATCCACATTAATATATATATATATATATATATATATATATATATATATATATATCTATGTATGGTTTTATTTATTATTTCTTATATTTTTGTTTTTGACAGCTGTACAAGTTTGAGCATATAAAGAATCCTTGTTGGTATGAGCCTCCATTTATTGTTCCAAATATAATAAAAGAGATGCAGATGTTGTGGCATGGACAGGTCTTTTCAAAAGAAATTCCAACACCAAACATGAAGGAAGTTTTGACTGATATTCGGACAAAATGGTTCTTACACAGGCAAACAAAGTTTAAATGCTTCCCTTATTTTTACATCATGTCCAGCAATAATTGCATTCGTAATGAAATTGTGAATCTTCTGATTCAACATCCTCAAATAAAAGCTCCAAGCAAAATAGACATTGATTTCTGGCCAAGTGAGTTTTAAAATTTTCTTTTTTTACCTGCTTAACAAGTCACTGTTTCTGCTATTCTTTCACTGGTTTATCATTCAACCAACTTTAATTGATATTGCTGAATCATGTTTCCAGTAATCAATGACCTAACTGCAGTCTTTTTTTTTTCAGTACATTTGTAGATAAATAATGCTAATACATGTACATAGTATTTTCAGCATGTTTTCTTTTTCTTTTATAACTCTTTCTCTCTGTCTTTTTTTATTTATTGTCTCTTTCCTTCCATCTCTTTTGTCTTTTTCTTCTTTACTTTCTTTTCCTTTTTCATGCTTATTTTGTCTCTTGTTGTTTGTTATCTCTTGTGAATACAGAATTGAATCTAAGATTTCTTCAAGAGTGGAAATTATGTCCGACCATTTTACAGTTGAAATATCTAAATGCAACCACCACTTCTACTCCAACAGTTTCTTTTCTCGCACTTCCTACCTGGGGAACTCCCTTCCATTTCCTTGCTTCCCTGATAACTACAATCTTTAAAAAGTTAAATGCAATGTCAATCACCATCTTCTGTCTTCTTGAACCCTGTTCATTTTTTGTCCTTTCCTCAATCCTTCCTATTTACAGTTATCTCTTTCTCTTTAACTCACTGTAGACCCCTGTGTGCTAGTGGTATTACTGCCTTGCTTAGAGTGAAATGATTAAAAATATGCCGTTACATATTTTTAGGCATTAGATATGAATTCAAAGTCACAAAATGGTTTTTCAAATGCAATTCTGTATTCTGTTTTAATTATTCTCTGAATAAAATCTGGTTTTAAATTTTACTTTATCTTGGTAATTACTAAGCTTAGCCAATGAAAGAATTGTCCTGTACGAGTCTTGTACCTGTCTTCCATGAAAATCAGTATAGAAAATTTTAATTTCTTACCTGAGCTAATAACAAACCTGATAAAAAACTACAATTGCCTCAGTCACCATCAAAGCAAACTTTTTACTTATCTTCAACTTGATATACATTCCATTCAGAAACTCTTTTTAAATATACAATATCTTTGTTTTCACCAGTACCTTTATTGTTAGGTAATTTTTATATATAACTAGTATAGTACCCATAAAAAATGATGGCATTTTTATGTATGGATGAATTATACAAATGTATATATATTGCAAGCTGAAAATGTATACATTGAATAAAATTTATTTTTGTGATGATTTTCAGCAACTCTTCATTTTTATTTTTTTTAATCTATAAAAATAAATTTTATACTCTTAAATTATGACAGACACATCATTAAAACAGATTTTATAAGTTGACCAAATTCAATGTTTCCTTATAAGGAAAGTAGTATTGGCTGCTCAGTAAACAAATGCTGAATGTTTCCTTATAAGGAAAGTAGTATTGGCTGCTCAGTGAACAAATTCTGAATATCTCCTACTATTACCATTACTATCTATGCATAACATCTTGTTGGATTTTTATTATTCCTCAAAAAGATAAATAACTTTCATTTCCTGTTTGGTCACATTTTATTGTTTCTCCTTCACTAAAAAAAATAGTTTTTCCTTTTTTAAAAATATTGTTACACATACACAAACACACACATATATGTTATACTATTGTTCACACAATACAAGGCCCAAGAGCCACTCAAGGCAGAGGGTTACTAAATGTTGTAAGGGCATACAAGGAAGGAATAAGGGATGTATATTATGATGATATCTAGGATAGATAAAGGTTAATCCTCAACATGAAATGTTTAGATTCATAGTAATTGAGCAAACATCCTTTTGGGAGTTTGTTTCACAATGTAACAATTTTGTGGAAGAAGCTATTGGGAAGTGAAACTACCTCCTTGCCAGTGGAATACAAAGGGAATGAGGATGAGATGACCGTGTGTATGTAGTGTGGTAGGTCCTAGCTGTGAACGTCTGAACTGGTGTGACTAAGAAATGTTAACATTTGCCATGAAAATAGCCAGTTTTATAGTCCCCGGCAGAGACATCTTGTGATGGAGAGGGTACAATGAGTGATAGAACTTCTCTTCCCCAGATTTTTGGAGGAAGTAACTCCTTTTTTACCAGAAAATCTTGCCTTCTTGCTAGTTGCTGATTTGTCAAATCACAGTCCAATGAAAAGTCATCATCATGTTTCTTTTACCTTTTTTATGGGACTTGTGAACATCATCTGACCTTATCAAATATAATGTATCTTAGAAATACAATTTCCAACATGTATGCTTGTTTTTGTTTTTGCTTTCTTTTTAGTTAGGTAGTCATTAAGTTATACTTCTCTCTTTTAAACACAATGTTACAATTATTTGAGGAACTAATAATGTTCGCAGATTTAGAAAATCTGAGTTGAAAAGGTTTTTGCAATTCTTCTTTCTTCCAAGAAAAGAAGTGTTTTGCATTAATTTCTCTCTTATTTTTTATTTAACAATTACCCCCCACCCCCGCCTATCAAAAATAGATAACACAACAGAATGCACTGTCACCTTTCCATAATATTTTTTGAAAGATGCAAATTTCATTCAATGAAAGAAAAGAGAGACAGACTTCTCTGTAATTTAGAGGATGTATGGGTTGTGTAATGAATATATACATGTATGTATATATATGTATGTGTATATATATATATGTATCTATATATATGTATGTGTATATATATATATGTATGTATATATATGTATGTATATATATATATATATATATATATATATATATGTATATATATATATATATATATATGTATGTATATATATATGTTTGTATATATATATATATATATATATATATATATATATATATATATATATAGGCACCTCGATGTGGTGTAATGGTTGAAAGTTTGTCTTGCTAGGTCAATTACGACTGAGTAGTGAATTCGATCCTCACTGGGTGCCCCATACTTTCAGCCTTGTGCCACATCTAAGCCAGGCTTAGAAAATCACTGTATATATATATATATATATATATATATATATATATATATATATATATATATGTCCTCAAGGCTCCATCCTAGGCCCCACTCTATTCCTTATCTACATAAATGACCTTCCTGGTGCCATAAATTCCCAAGTTGGCATCTACGCTGATGACACCACAATTTACTCCTGCCTCAAAAACAAATCTCGTGTCGCTGACAAAACTAACCTGGCTGTGCATCTCGAAAAGGACCTCCAATCAGTTGTGTACTGGGGCAGGAATTGGCTGGTCAACTTTAATGTCTCAAAAACAAAACTGCTCTCTATTAATCACCACAGAGATCCTTCCCTGCCCTCCATTAGAATGCCTGACGCTCAACTTCTCGAGAGCACCTCTCTGCGCCTGCTCTGTCACACCTTGTCTACTGACCTGAGATGGAACAAATACATTGAGTCAATTGCTTCGTCCACCGCAAGGAAAGTTGGCTCCCTGCGCCACGCCAGGAAATTTTTCTCCCCGGAATTGATCCTTCAGATCTACGAATCAACAATTCGCCCTTGCATGGAGTATTGCTGCCATATATGGTCTGCAGCCCCTTCTGTTTTCTTCGGGGTTCTTGATAAGCTTCAGAGGTGGATATGTAATATAATTGGCCCTGTTCTGGCATCTCGTCTACAGTCACTCTCTCACAGATGTGCCATCGCTTCTGTCTGTCTTTTTTACAAATACTTTCATGGTAATTACTCCGAGGAGCTGCATTCGCTGGTTCCCAGACTTCATGAATTCAAGCACCCTATGAGGCTGGCATCCCGCTCTCACCCTTTCACTGTCAAAACTACTACATCTAGCCGTCTCTTCTACTCCAATAGCTTCATGTCTCACACCTCTCGCCTGTGGAACTCCCTTCCCTATTCCAGTTTCCCTGAGAGCTATAATCTCCAACTATTCAAATGTAATGTCAATCGACACCTCCAGTTGCCTTGATCTAACCACTATCCTTCTCCTCATCCTTTCCTCTATCATTCCTATCTGATCTTGCTCCAAATCTTCTGTAACCCCTAAATGTCCTAATGGCTTCCCACCTTGCTTGGGGTGAAATGCTTAAAAAAAAAAATGTATATATGTATGTATATATATATATATATATATATATATATATATATATGTATACATGTATGTATATATGCATGTATGTATATATGTATGCATATATGTGTATGTAAATCAGAGAACAAAGTTCAAATTCCAGTCAAGTTTGTTACATGCACTTACAGGCAAATCCCCTCAAGAAAGGTATGAATCCATTTCTTCTCCTCCTCAGCTATAGGTTAAATAGTCAGACTTGTTTCTGGAAAAATCATTGTTATCTCCAAAAGAATTGTTAATGCAATATTCTATTATAAAATGATATATTCTTACAAACCAAAATAAGTTTCAGTTTTAAATAAGCCACAAAGCGTTGACAAACTGTAAAAAAGCAAATCTATCAATCAATCAACATCTGTGATTTAATGGTGAACAAGTCTATCCTACTCTGACTATTATCTTATTATAATAGTATTTGTCACTCCCTTTGTTAGTTTACACGACCATTACACCTTGTCAGTACCTCATAAAGAATGATCACATGGAAAGAGGAGGAAAAGACACTACTTGGTTTCAATGCAAAAATGTAAGACAAAGAAAGAAAGAAAGAAAGAAGGAAAAGAAGAAGGGGAAACAGAAGTGTTTAATGGACGATTTCATTTTGATTGTGAAGAAAAACAAAACACATATCAGAGATGCTGTTTGCTTTCAGTAAGAAAATGAATGAAAGAAAGAAAGGAAGACAGAAGTGTTTAATGGCTGTTTCAGTGAGATGGAAAAATTGTCAATTTTATGTCTTTTTGTTTGTACCCCCTTACTTCTTAAAATAACAACCAGCCTTCATATTTATGATTGTTATTGCAATATTTTGTTGTTAAGCTCAAATATTTAACAATGTGATAGGGGAATTTCTACAGATTGCCATAGAACTTGCCATGAGGGAGATTCATTAGAAAATTCAAATAGGAAAACCATGAAATTTTTGGAGGTATTTTTAGTTATTATTATTATTATTATTATTATTATTATTGTTAGTTCAATCCTAAATGTATCCCACATTTTTGATTTTTAACAAACTAAACTTAAATAGAAATCTGGTTTATAAATAAAAAATGACATCAATTAAACATAATAACCAAACCAAATTGAGATAAATAGGAAATTTCTGGGAACATAATGAAGAAAGAGGGTCTAGAGAATTCAACACTCATAGGGCATACGGAAGTAAGCTATTTGAAAAGTGTGAATGAATGGATAACAAAACAAAAACAATGAGGGATTATAAAGGCTCAAAAGTTACTTTGAGCAACAAAAGAAAGGAAGTTGTGGAGGGACAATTATCACCTGCATACTAAAACAGGATGGCACATAAAAGAAATAGATGGATAACAGAACAAGAAGAATGAAAAATGATAAAGGGTCAAAAGTTAATTAGAGCATCAGAAGACAGGAAGTTGAGAAGGGCCATGATCACCAGCATCTTAAAAGGACATGGCACATAAAAGAAGTGGATGGATAGCAAAACAAGGACAATAAGGGATAATAAAGGGTCAAAAGTTACTTAGAGCAACAAAAGACAAGAAGTTGTGGAGAGCCATGCTCACCTGCATCCTAAATTAGTTTTAAAGAATTTAGAAAAAATAACATAAGTCATCATCCAGATATAAGAAAAATAGATACATCATTAATTTATTTTATCATAATCAAATGCACCCTAATTATAAAAAGAAGAAAAAGTCAATAGAAATATAATTCACTGGTACATATCACTTAACAGTCCAAACAAATACCTTAGATTTATCATTTACTACAAAAAGTTCCAAATATTTAACCTAATTACAAATAACTCAGGACCTCAAAATTCCCCCAATGAAAAACAATGTTGTTCATGAATTCTCATGTCCTGTGGAAGATTGCATATCTAATATAAATAAAAAAAAACAAAAACAACATTAATTTTTTATATTGGTTACAGATACACCCCACTCTCTTGTGAGTTGAGTTGTCACTTGTTGAAACTTAGTGCAATTTGTGCACATATTAATCATTGCATCACAACCAAAACACAGCTATCAACAAAACACAAGCATTAGTAGATAATATCAAAATACTAGATAGCACTTGTAGTCAGTGTGCTGGTTCAATGCTGCTGCTGGTTCAAGCTGGTTGTTGGTTGCTGACTGCTTTGATCCACACCATCTCCGGCCACATTGTGTCCTTGATCTCAGAGCAGTAGAAGATTGAATGTCGTCATCGTCTTACAGCATTGGTCAAGCCGTAGCGGGTGCTATATTAAGCAAAAAAAACATCTTCATGACAAAAAAATAAAATGAGAGATTCATGGGATTAATCTTCAATTGGTTTATATAGCGCTCTTGCTACAACAAAAATTAACCCTCTCTGCATCAATCTCTCTAGTGACACTGGGCCTTGTCTAAACTTCTGGAATGCTGAGTTCAGGGTTTTGGAATCAGGAATTCTGGTGGCAACTGACATGGATTCTAGAAGCACTCAATGTGGCTTCTCAGTCCAATGTCTTTGATCTCCACAAAGTCACCTTTGGCCCAAAACTGGCATGTGGCTGATGGGTTCTGGGAATTTGGTGATTCCACAATTTTCATTAATTCAAATAAAGATTTTCTTTGTTCCTTATTTCTGCTTTCTTAATCAATTTTCCAAATTTGGAAAATTATTCACCTTCTTTGAGAGTAGTTACAGGGATTGCTTCACTTCACATCTCGCACTGCTACTTTACACAGGTGGGGCCAAATTTTGCCCCTTCCACATTCTCTCCTAGCATTCAACCTCAGAGCATGCATATCTGTCTTTGTGACAAATCTAATTTTTAAAGTGTATAGGTGGAAGGGTAGAGTTCCATTCCTACCATTAATTTTAATACTCCAAATCTTTTCTATTTTCCTGGAACTATCTCTGTCCAGCAATGACAGAATTTGTTTTCATAATTCCAACCTTAATCATACATTACATCTGACCTGTTAAGAGAAATTTGTTCTCATTTTAATCTTCCAAGCAATAGATAAAAATTATTTCTCTATCTGCTTTTATCAATGAAAATATATATTTGTTTACCTAAATTCTCAAACAAGAGACAAAACTGTTTTCCATCCAGGTCTGATCATTGTCTCAGCAAAAACATAAACCAGATCACCTTCTTGACATGACATGATTGATCTTCATAACCTCAACCCTAAGAAAAAGGGTTTGTTCCTTGTTTTCATTTTTGCCAATGAAAATATGATCCTCACCTGCTTCTCTTTCTGTTAATAATATATGTTTTTCTAATTTCTCCAGAAAGAAATAAAATTATTTTCACCTTAATCTATCTACTACCCTCATCCTTTCTTCTAACACTCCTATCTGATCTTCCTATTTTCTGTAACCCCTTGCGTCCTAGTGGCTCCCCGCCTTGCTTGGGGTGAAATGCTTAAAAAAAAAAAATCTGTTTCATCCACATGCCAGACTCTTGATAGATAAGAAAAATAAACTTTAGGAGAGAAGAAATCCAGAGAGTTCCATTCTCACCAAAGAAAATGCCTCCACTCTCTTTATCTCTTTCATTTTGGGTTCAACCCTTTTTTTTTTTTCCTGTTTAGAATTAAAGTTCAATAACCTCACTGCCTCAGTGTCACACAATGAAAACATTGCCTTCACAGAAACTGACTGGTGAGCTGAGAAGAAGAAAGAAAGGAATTCTCAAGCCTATGTGAAATTATTTTTGTACCAATGAAAATTAGCCAGTCAGCCAACAAAAAGAAGGAAGAAAGTAGTGAACATATGTGAAATTCTTTTTTATATAAAATGAGGAGAAAAGTTAAATTAATAAGAGAAGAGTGTCTGAAGTCATGTGAAAGGTTTTGTTTCAGTTCCTTGTGACCAGTGTTGAAGTTCTTGCCAGTCTAAAATTACTTGCCAATTATATTATCAGCCTCTAAACAGCATGTGGTACTTCAAAGAATTTTCTCTCAACAATCCAAGAAAGCTAACTATTTCAAACTATCTCTGTTTGTCTACTTTTAAATGTATGCAAACCATATATCCCTTCGGTGAGCAATAAACTTGCTTACCTTTGTTTTAAACATTTTTTAATATTATTTTGTGTCAGATCACTTAATCTGTGAACATTTCCTCTTCATGACAATATGTTAAAACTATGAACTTTAGGAATTCTGATTTATTTTCCTGAAAGAAGCTGATTTACCCATGTCAAAAACACTACTTCAAGTGTGTAAATTCATGAATTAATTCCTTATCTTGTTTTGTTAAAAAATTACCTATGTGTTTCCTCACCATTATCATCCTTCATTAATCTTTTTGACATGGGTAAATCAGCTGTTCATTTTAATCCCTAAGCTCCATGCCACTATATACTCACTGCAAGGAAAGATACAATATTCTAGAAGCTATTATTATACGAAAGAAACAATAATTAATATCTTTCATCCTATAAGATAGTATCTTCAAGCATTTATAAAGTATTTAATATGCATATGAAATAATCATAAGTATAAATATTTGATAAGTGCAATTCTGGTGCAGTCTCACTTCATTTAATTTGTGTTGATTTTCTCCTATGTGTCTATTTCATTCAACTACATATGCATGTTGATTTCCTCTACATATCTATCTTGACTATTACCTTGTGTTATACTCTAAATGATATCTCAGTCTTCTATGATTCATATATGATACCCTGGAACAAGCAAATAATCAAACCTTTTAAATCACAGAGAAATAAGAATGTTTTTATTCATCTCAAACATGTCTTAACTTTTTTGTTGCTTTGTCACTTTTATTTTTTCTTAACAGTAAATCTGTAACAATTTTTAAAAACAATATTGTAAAAGAAAACTGTTAAAACTCTATTTGATTGACAAATTTTTGTTTATTTTCTTTGCCTTTATTTAATTTCAGATGTTCGTTCAGATAACATTGACTCCTATGCAGATAATTTTGAAATTCCATCGAATTTTCTTGCTGAAGATAAGTTTATTATAACATGTAAGTATTACAGACTAATTCTCAACTACAAAGTGATCTTAATATTATGGTACAATAATATCTGTTATTAAAACCTGAAATAAGTCATGAAAATATATCAAGCAAAATTTTGTGAAAGTTTATGCCTATCAATTGAACACTGTGTTAACCTGTATGAAATTCAGCCATCTAGGTTTTTTATATTAAAAATTTGAACATCTGAATTCCAAATAGTAATAAGATAAAAATAAAGAAAACCTGGGTATGCCTGTTAAATAAATCATTTGTATTTATAAACATATGTACATGAATTGAAGAGTCAAAAAGGAGTAAAAAATAGTCTTTAGTTGAGTTAAAGTCTTTGGATAGTTGGTACACAGAAAAATCTGAAATTTAGAAAAGATTTTTAAATAGTTGATCCACAAAAAATATGTAGTTGAGAAAAGACTTTTATCATCAGTGGTGATTCATTGACCATCATTGTTGTCATTGTTAGAGATGATTCATTTCAAATCACCAACTGGCCATTCATGCTGTTGTTGGAGATAATTCATTTGAAGTTGCCAACACATGTTTCTTTCAGCACATGCTAAGGGGAACAGAAAAGCCATGTAGCCACCTTTTTGAACAGTTTGGAAACAGCTGCATCTCTGTTCTGTGAAAGTTGAAATCAGGTTTTTATAAGAAATTTTTCCTGAAATTTTTCTGATTGGCCAAATATTTCACATGGTGATGTTAATTTCTAACCAATAGACACTTTGATTTAAACAATGTGTGTTATATTGTGTAATCTTTTTGGTACATTTGTAATATTGTCATTATTGGGTAGAAAATAAAGTTTGGGTGTGTCTTAATATGGTATGTGGGTAGGTAATTGTGTTGGAAATAGAGTTTATTTCCTACAAGTCTTTGACTTTTTTAATTGAATCTAAATATTCCTGCCATCCACAAAATTTAAGTTATTTCAAAGAATTGTAACAGTATGACATTACCAGTTTACTGAAGAGGAATATATTCTTGCAATGGAGAGACATATATATTTATGTGATAAATTGTAGCAGAGATATTACTCTAGTTACATGAAGATTTTTTTGTAAGAGGAGCTAGTGTAGTGACAGTATTGTGTTGCAAGCAAAACGTTTTTTTGTAGGACTAAGTCCCCCAGAGAAGAATGCAACACATCTTGTGCCTATGCCATCCTGTGGTTGAAGAGCAAGAGAAAAAAGAGAGGGTTTGTTCCCTTTCCTTTTATACTGCTTTATACAACACCACCTAGTGGGTGTTAGAAAAAGTAAGGCAATCTGACATAATCATAGATTGGAATATATCTTTGTATTAAAAATTATTAATAAAGATTTCTTACATGATATGAAAATATGTTTATTTAGATTGAAGTCAAATATTAAATTGGACAAAATAAAAAGATATAGAAGTAGATTCACAATAAAAAGAACAAATTAACTTCAGTTGGAAGTGTGGATGTGCAGGTGGTGTAATGGCTAGAAGATAAGAAATCAGAGAACTGAGTTCAAATTCCAGTCAGTTTCTATGTTCATTTACATACAAATACCCTTGGGGAATGTAAGAGTTCATCTCATTTCCCTCCAGTTATAGGTTAAATAGTAGGATATGTATCTGGAAAAATCATCAGCAGTGACATCAAGGTACTTCTGTCAACAGTGATACCTTTGTCCAGTGATGACATTAATTCTTGATTACTATGATGCAATAATTCTTGGAATATTTCTCCTATGAATCTATCTCATTCAACAACATATGCATATTGATTTTTCCCTACAAGTCTATTTTGACTACTCCCTTAAATTATACTCTGAACAAACTCTCAAACTCCAATGACTAATATGCAATAGTCCAGAATGGTTAAATGATCAAACCATGTAAATCATGGAAACTAAAATCTCTTTCACTTATCTCAACCGTGTCTTATCTCCATTAGTTGTTTTGTCAATTCTATTTTTTCTTGTTAACGGTAAGGTCGTTGTTACAACATATATTCATTTTTATTTGAAAGACATTCAATTTTAAATGATAGACATTTTAGACACATTGATTTGAGTTTTTAATTACATTTCTTAAAAAGAAATTGTTAAACTTTTAAATAAATAAAGCTTTGAATTCTAGATAAATAAGTCCAAATTACTAACATGTTTATGTGTGGAAATGCATGCATATGGATTTAAATTATATTTTGTTAATAAGCAGAAATACCTTTTTTATATTGACAATTTATAAATTAATACACCATCTAATAAAATAAATATGCTGTCTAATAAAATGATTACACTATCTAATAAAATTATTCATTAATAAAATATGCTAATAAAATGCCTCGTCTAATAATTTCTATATTCTATTAGTATTATCTTATTTATTAGTGTTGCTTTTTAACACAACATTCTCATTTATATACTCTTCATTCTTTTTTATATGTTGTGTCCCTTCAGGATGTGTATGATCATGGCTCTCCACAATTTCCTATCCTATGTAGCTCTTAGCAATGTTTGTTGTTTTACTATTTTTCTCATTCCACGTTCTACCATTCATTTACACAAGCTTGTAGGTTATTTACTGTTACTTTCTGTTCCACTTGCTTTCAATATATCTTGTGAGTGTTAAATTCTCCACACTCTCTTTTCTCATTGTGTCCCAGAAATTTCATCTGTTTCTTATTCTATGTATATTTATCTTTCTACTTCTCATTTTCCTTAAAACTTCCTTTTTGTTTACATGTTCCTTCCATGGTATTCTCAGCATTCTTCTGCAGAACCGCATTTCTGTTACCTCAAGTTTCCTGTGAGGAAATTTTTCAGCATTCACTGCCAGATAGAAGGATTGATATTGCATAGCATACATTGTTTTCTTTGTTTCCAATGAAATTTTCTTGTTTCTTAATACTTTGCTTTTCATTTAGAAGGTAACATTTGTTATTCCAATGTAGCTCCTGATTTCAGTGTCATATTTTCTCTAATGTTTTAAAACATTTCACAGATATTTAAATTTATATACTTGCTTGATTTTGACATCTCCAATTTGTAACTATTTATACTATTTACATCATTTGGGCTGTTCTCCTCATCTTTATTGCCATATTCACAATGTTTCAGCTGTTGTACACTCTGACTTTCTTCAGGTGTTGGAATTTTAAACATAATCATCCTTTATTTAGTCCATGGGGGGGTAGATTGTTCTAATTCCACGTGCCATGCCTTTTTTTGGATATCTCAGTATCAGTTAATTCACTTTAGTAACTCAACTCTCCAAGTTTTTATTGCCTTTGCTGTGGCCAGCTATTGAACTTACACCTCCAATTTGTAGCTTGCACCTTGTGCTGTTCTGCTAATGACTATACATTCCATCTTTTTACAATTAATGATTATTCCTTTCTTCACTCTTTCCTTTACTATCTTGTCATAGATTTACTATAGTTTTCTTTCTGTGTCTGTCATCAACTTTGTGTCATCTGCATATCTTTTGTCACTAAGAGTGTGCCCAGCAATAATAAATCCTGATTAAGACTTTTCTTAGGATTGCCTCACTGTGTAGATGGTAGGTTACCCCAGATGGCTTTTCCAGATTCACCAAGATGCTGTTAGATGGTGCTTTTACACAACTATAAAACTGGGACACTTCCTCTCTTCTTTCTCTTTTCCTTCAACATGTAGTAGAAGTAACATCAGCATGGGACTTGTTCCCAGCATGGGGATATCTTTGTCCTGGGTGACTGAACTCTTTCTCACTCACACACATGCACAAACACATGTTTATCAATCGCATATACAGACACACACTTCCTGATCATTAAATTTTAAAATCTTCTTTCTTTACAACTATATTTACATACATACTAGTGTATTTTATCTCCTTTGTTAATCAGTCAATTGTTAAATAAAAACACATGAAAATATCACCTTCTTGAAACTTATTCCATTTCCTTTCACCTCTACTAATAATGATGACTAGTCATTTACATGTATAAATTTTGATGGCCACTGCTTTCAGTCCAACTAGGATCCATATCATAATATTGTCAAATAAATAATATTATTTTATTACTAATGTTATTTGTTGGGGAGTAAATAAGACACTCCCAATAACACAAATGAACTAGGCAAGATGCCTTTAAGAAGTCAAAGTGAGTCAGAAGAAGTCTCTTGGAGTCAGTCGGAGAGATACTAATAACATCACGATGAATAGCCTAAGCAAGACATAATATTATAACTGCTAGGAGTGAGTTATAATAGTGGTGAAAAGGAATTGAAACTCATATCAATTAGGAAAAAGTACTCTTTGCTTCAGCACACATGATAACAGTAACAATGAAAAATTAGAACAACATTGGGTTAATTTTTTTCTGTGGTGCATGTTTTTTTACATGCACCACAAAAAAAGAGAAAAGAAAGAAACGCATATTCTTTAAATATAGAAGAATTATTAGCCCAAGTGGTAAAAATACAACAACAACAATAACAGCAGTTGTTAGAACTCCAGAAACAACAAAATTTAATTGAAATAATATGGAAGAAAACAGAAAATTCCCCAAGTTATTTCACTCCTGACACAGTGGCAAATGCCATAGCTGAATTCACCTACAATTCAGATGATGGAATTACCTTTCCTGCTTATTTTAGAAGATACAGGCAAATTTTCAGCAGAAATTTGCTTTGAAGAAACAGTAAATATTCTGACTAAAATTTTTAGTGAAAAAAGTTCATTATTCAATACTCGTTGGAAGTGTAAGAATCTGTCAAAAAAAAAAATGAAAATTTTATCACATATACTGAAATCATTAATAAGGAGTGTGAAAGATTCAAATTAAATGAACTGACTCTGGATATGTTTAATTTTCATTCAAGGCTTAACGGTGAAAAAAGATGCAGAAATATATGCTAGAATTCTGAAGAAACAGAATAAAAAATTAACACTACAAGAAATATCGGATGAATGTCAGAGAATCCTAAATCTGAGATGCGATACTGAAGAAATTGAAGTAAAATAATGCA